CTGCTCCTGGTGGCCACGCTATTTCTGATACCGGCCAGGATGCCATTGGCCTTCTTGGCCACCTGGGCACACTGCTGCTTAGAAAGAATACTCTGCTCATTTGGTTGACCTCTTCCCCTCCACCCTGTGCAGGCAACTGGGATTCAGTGCAAACCGGGTGATTTTTTTTCTGGTTTAGTTGTTGCTGTTTGTTTCATTTTTTTACACTGAGTCCCCTCTGTTTCTGCAAGACACCAGTGCCTCTGTTGGTTATTAAACCTGCTTCTGCCCTGACAGAATAACAGTGTTTTTTTAGGGAAGTATAACTGGAATAAATACTGAAGGGAAAGAAGAGAAGAGACAAAAAATAGGAAAAATATCACAGGAAGAGCTACAGTTCAATGATACAATTTTGTTTGGGTTTTTTGCTGGTTTTGGGAGGAGGTGTTTGGGGTTTTTTGGTTTGTTTTTTTTTGTTGTTTTTTTTTCAACAGAGAACTGATTCCTGCTAAACTTGGCCCTGGGAAAGCACGGTATTTTAAACTGTCTTTCTCCTTACTGTGTCCTTAAACTTGAGAATAGTGTTTTCTTTCTCCGTGGAACCATCTAACCATCTTTATGTTTAGTTTAGAAGCAAATGTTCTTGTGAGAGTTAAAGATTGCAGGACTTGCATCCTGTTGTAGTAATTTAGTACAGAAATGGCTAATGTAAACTGATTTTTACAGATGATTTCCTGGCCCTTCTTTATGTGTTTGTACAGCAGGTTTTAAATAGCATTACTTTGTACTTGGCTCCCTAGTGGTGTTTTATTATTCGCCATTCCTTTCCTGTTGTTTCCCACTCATTTTGCTTCACCTGCACTCTGCTTGTACCCTCAAACATGGTAGTTAGCCATATAATGTTAAAACGATATTCAATGAACATTAAACTTCTCTGCTTTCAGCCACAGAGGAGCAAAGCAATGAAGGGACAACTTGTTCTGATTATACTTAAGGGTGTATTTAAATCTGCAATATGGTCATATTTCCTGTGTTTCCTTGCATTGCTTCAGGCATATAAATTATTCCATAATGCAGCTAGATTTAGCCTTGTTGATTTTAGTTGGGTTTCTGTGAAGGCTAAATAAGGGCCTAAATCTTTAGCAAATTTTTCCTTTGCTTTTTGTTGCCGTTCCTGAGAATATATTTTTTTTAAGTATACATGCAGTGTTTGTGGTTTTTAATCTTAAGCATTCTCCTCTAATTCCAAGTAACTGGTTAATAATTATTCTTTTGCCATGCAGAAATCTCTAGCAATAAAATAAAAAAAAAACCAACCAAAAAATAAAATAATTTAAAAAGTATTAATCCCAAATTGGGTATTTTTCCCCACAAGGCTTTAGTAGCTTTGTAAAGAACAAATCCAAAGTTCAGTGACTGCAGGAGGCCCCCAGAGCAGAGCATGTCCCTTCTAACTAGTTACTGCTAGTTAGCTTGAACTAGCTTGTTAGTGTTCTGCTCAACACGGAAGGTGAGTCTGAACAAACTGAGTCAGCTGTGAGCAGGTTTGCCCTGATCGTTCGCCTCAGACGGGGGGGGACGTTTGGGGATGGCAGGGCTGGTGTGGAGTAAGCCAGGAGCGAAGGAGATGCCGAGGGGACATGCTGCTCTGGTGTGGTGCCCGCACGGCTCTTTTTAGGGCAGTGCAGTCATCAGAGAACTGATACTATACAAGAAACCCACTTAACTCGCTTTTTAAAAAATTTTGGGTGTGCACAAATTCCTTGTAAAGCTGGATCCCTGGCTGTGTTCACATTGCAACCTTGCATACAGTTGTATTGCGTGACTGGGGTGAGGTGTGGAAACAGGAGCCTGTCGGGCAGTTCTGCACCAGGCTGCTGTGCACTGCGGGCAGTGGCTACAGGCAACTGGCATCACCGGTCCTTCCTTTTATTTTTTTTGATCTGTTGTACACATTTTAGAACAAGAAGATACTAAGTGCTGTCTTAATTTTCCAAAACCAGGTATTTTATTGAGTTTATACTGTTAAAAGGATATGGCTTCAAAATATCAAGATCTCCAAGTGAATGAATTAGCCTGAGGCAGCTTATTTGAACATTTAAAGTTCTAAAAAAAAGTCTAAAAAAAAAAAAAAGAGAGGGGTAAAAAGAGAAGATAGAAAAATGTTAATGGGAACATATGGTTTTAAAATTAATAAAAAGTAGTGACCAAAGAGGTTAATGTTAACTAGTGTCAGCAAATTATTTCTCATAAAAGCAATAGGGAAGAAATCATAAGCATGAAAAAAGAATTGTACATTAAAATTAGAGGACAGTTAGAGATTAAAAGAACTTTTATCAAATGCCCTTTTTTCACCGTAGCACAGATGGACTTTAAAAAGCTTGATTATACAAGGAAGGCTTTTTTTTCCTTTTAATTTACAACATTTGCACCCTAGATCCCTAATTCACAGCTGACTTAATGAATTAATTAACTCCGGCATAAGTTCTGAATAAAAAAACCCAACCATATACTTTTTGTTCTGTATTACCATATGAAACACACAGCACACTGGAGCTATGTAAAAGCCTTGTTGAAAAGCAAGATGAAACAGCTGTGATACAACTCTTGGGTTTTTTTTTTTCTTCTTATCTTCTCTACAATTTCCCAGGCTCTTGGCAAATTGCAAATTACACTGTTGGTATTTTTTTTGCTTTTTTTGTGTGTGAAGTGTTTTTGAAATACCAACTAATATTTTGGCTTGATGAACCTGAGGATGGTTTATATGCTAGCTGGAAGCTCTGCTTGAGCAACCGCCAGAGTCTGTGCCTGGAAGGTACAATTAAATATGCTGTCCCCTGCAGTACCTTCCTTCTGCTCCTTGGGAACTGAGCGATACCCTCAACCTGTGTCAACTTAATTCTGCTTTTTTTCATGGTCAGGCCTCTATTTAAAGGGTTAAAAAAATCTACAGGAAAAGAAATACATTTGTTAAAAAGTCTTCTGTTGCTTTTTCTGCTTATAAATCTTTTCATTTACAATGTTATTCAGAGGCTTACTGATTTATGTTTTGTGTTTTTAAATATTTGTAATTATATCTGCGGTTGTTTTATTATTGAAATGCCTGTAGTTTTACGAAATGTGCGTGGTATGTCCTTTCAGCACAGTGGTGACTTACAGTGTATCTGAAGAGTGCCTTGTTTTGCCAGGACATTTCTTTTCTACTTGAAAAGCTTTGTAGTTACACCATAAAACAAAACAACAAAAAACAGTAACACTGGAAAAACTGAAGCGTCAAAGGAATTATGTAATGAATGTGCAGTGGTTCAAACACAAGCATCTGGGACAAGAACTTTCTTTTTATTAAAGGAGTTGTTGACCTTATGTGGCATTTTCAGCTATGCAGGGAGCAGGAGTCGGTTTTAAATCTCTTTCCGTCTGTGGGGCAGAACTTGATATGATTTTCTCTTGGCTTTTCCCCCTCCCGTCACTGCAGCAGCCCATAGATCTGGGTTAGATGCAGTGATTATTTATATGTGCCATACTCCACGCAGTGCTCGGCGAGGGCTGCCTGCTCCTTGAGGCACTGGTTGTGCCGAGCGGGATGCTGAGGCCAAGCAGTGTTGTGAGAAGACATGTCGTGGTTGAGGAAGAGGTCGGGGTGTTCGTGGGAGAAGCCAGACCCCACCGCCAAGCCGCGATCAGGAGGGATGGGGGAGTGCGGTGAGCAGGAAGGGAAGGAGATGGAGAACCGCCGGTGCATGCACTCGTAGTTTGGAAACCCGGGGAGTGCCCACGCTGCGCTGCGGGGAAGGTTGGGGTTGTTCCTTCCTCTCCCTACCCCGCAGAGGAAGAAGGTAGTCCAGAGACATTTGAAAAAAGAAAACAGAAGCAAACAAACAAAACAGAAAAGTTATGAGGGAGTTCTTTGTTTCAGCTGGGCTCACAGTTGTTTTCTAAGTACCCCGATTCACCAGGACATTTGCTTTGCTGTCATCGGTTAGACATCGCTCTCGGCACTTGTGGGGTGGGTGTGAAGCTTGTGCATGCACCCCCAGTGCAAGGGGGTGCACGGGTGGGCTGGCTGGGTGGAAAGTGGCTCAGTTTGCCCATTGCTAGCCCTCAGCTCTCATTTGTCCTGAGGATTCTCGTTCACTTTTCTGCCCATCCTCTGTGCTGGGGGTTGCCTTAGTCTTTCCTGCCAGTGTAACCTGGGCAGCATGTCTGTGGCTTTTACAGAGCAGTGATGTGTGTAATACAAGGTGCACTCTTTTTCTCAGGAGCTGCCTTATTTAGTCCATAGCTCTATTGCAACTGCTTGGGAAACTCTCCTTGCAGATGGTGCACGTGTGCTGCCAGTCTTCCGCTGTCGGCGGAGGAGGGAGCGTGGTGGTCCCCTGCTGCTGTGCAGAGTCCTGCTCCCTGCAAGGACGGATCGGAAGATACTCCCGCAGGGAGCTGGGATTTTATTGCGTGTTGGACCTCCATGAGCTGGTTGTCCGGACACCGTTGGGAGAGGCAGTACGGAGCCCAGAGGAAGGGTTGCGTGTGCTTCACCTTCTCGTGCCATTACAAACAGTTGCTTTGGCCCAGGGACTTCTTGGGTGTACATCGGGCCTTCCTGCCTCTGACGTGGAAAACATTTTGAATGCTCTTTCCATAGGCTAAAAATTAGGCTAAAGGTTTTAGCTGAAATATTTATTTGTCTCAACAGGACAAATCTGTTTCTCAGAGTGACTTTTTGTTGAAAGTCCTTCCAAATAAAGCAAATTCATGTTTGCTGCCTTTACTGTAACATATCAGTATAAAGCCATGCTTATGGACTGATAGACTTTCATGCTGTACTAGCTGTAGGTAGCTACAGTCAAATACGCTGTTTCAGTAGAAGTTGGTGCGTTCTGTGGGGAGAACAATGTGTTCCCTTCATGCCCAGCGAGGGTTAGGTAATCCGCATCATCTGTCTGAGGAGACCGGGTATTTTCCCAGCCTCTGAGTGAAGAATCTGAAGTATCTAGATTAAAAAACAACATTGTTTTGACTGAATACTAGAGAATTGCTTAAAACATACTAAGCAATTGAAAGTGCGAAGAGTATGCCAAAGAGCAATTAACTATGATTTAGAGGGTCTGAATCAAAACAATGTAAGCATGACACAAAAGCTTTCGACACTGCTTTATGGCAGAAACAGGGGAAGAACCCAAAGCAACTTTAAAGCAATTTGCAGAGTAGTTGTGAGATTTTACTCTTTCTCTCTAGCAGAGTGCTCCTTGCAGGACTATCTAGAACTAAAGCTAAGACTAAGACCATTGTCCAGATGCTCCTTGAGCTCTGACAGGCTTGGTGCTATGACTACAATATTAAATGTTGTCATAATGGTAATTGCAATACTTAACAAGTTTAGGAAAGAAGATGACCGATAATATAATGAAGAAACAAACACAGTTCTGTGCAAAAATTAAGTTTTCATCTGTGCAAGTGTTCTTGACTACTGGGTAACTCTGTAAAAGCATAGACACAGATTTGGATCATTAATAGATTATGGAACATATTGCAGTGATGAGATGGTTTTCATTTGCTGTAACAAAAATGTTTTTAATTCAGTATTTTGTTTATTTCTGTTCACATCTGTGTCACTTTTCATGGCATACCTTAAGAGTCCTATGGCAATGATCAGTAATGCACTGTTACATTTCAGGAAACAAACACAGAAGTGAATTTCAGGTTTTGGTGGATCAAGTAAATAACCGGTGGAAGAAAAGTGGTAAGAGGAAAACAGGAAGTGCTCAAAACAAAGAAGTTGTCACTGTCAAAGAATTGCCAGAGGCCACAGGTTAGTGATGTTTAATATAGTCCCCCTCTTCGATCCACACTAAGTGGGAGATTTCCCAAAGAAACGTTCTTTCCTGCCATTGTTGTCCTCCTGCAGTCCTTGGGGGGGGAAGGCATAAAAATCAAACAGACCGTAAAAACATTGACTGCCATTGATTTTAGTGTGATACATAAGCACAACCCATTATAAATACATGGTTTGTTTGATTTTAGTGGGATTGTATATAAATGTGCTTCATTTAGGTACATATTTTAATAAGCTGGTTGAAATGGGGTCTTAGGTTCCAATCCAAATCTACTGCAGTTGCCGAGAATGGGCATGTGACAATCTGCATCTTTGAAATTAAGGTGGTCATGGGTATTGCTTGCTGGGTTTCAGCTTTTCTGTATCATTAATACGATAGGGAGTCAGTGATTGGGAACTTCAAAGGTATTTGTGTGGATTGGAACAAGTATTTATTTGTCCTGAGGTTGAAGCAATAAAATACTTCAGCTTCTTTTAGACTGTTTATACAGTATGTTGCCTCTCTTTTTTTAACTTGCTTCACTTTGTGTTTATATATTTCAACACAGTGAAAAGTGGGAATGCATAACTGCAGTTACTCAGTCCTTTATGAGTTAAGAACAACATCTAGCATATTTGTTATCCTCACAACCCACAACATCAAAAAATTACCCATGTGTGCTTGTAACTTGTTCCCTATAGGCTTGTTCGGTCTCGTTTGTTTTATGTTACTGGTGGCTTTGGCAGTGTACATATATCTATGAATGTGTGATTTAGAAGAGCATTCCTCAACCTAATGTAACTTGTGGAGTTATAATCTATTCAAGATACTGAATTTTGGAGAGAATTCCATTGACCAGAATTGGATGCACTGTTGTCTGTATCCTTGGGAAAATATGGCAATTTAGTTTGTATCAGTTCTCACAAATCCCTGCTCTCTTGAGTTGAAATGAACTAATTTTTGGCTGTCTCCTGCGCCATCTTCTCTAGCAGGGGTCTCAAGAATAAAAATAAATGAAAATACCAATATAGTAGTATGAATTTTATCCTTATTGTTTCATGCAGGCCTTGATGCAATGCATAATCCTTTCCATGTGAAGGGTAAAACTTAAGGAATCGCAAGGATAAAGTGTGTCTTGTTTGACATAATTTACAGTAATGTTCCTCTTCTATAGCAGAGACAGAAACAATGTGTTATTAGATAATGGGATCACAGACTTTAAAATATTAATTTCTAGCTATGGTCTGTGGAGAGATTGGCTACTATGAATTACCATTTCTATCTTCTGTGTAAGCTTTTTCTTTGTGTGCTGAACCACAGACTTTGAGAAGCTGAAGTAAAGCCGTATGGTTTTTCCAGAAGAGTGCTCAGGTAGAAAATAACTTACATCAGGTGTATCATCCTGTATCATGTTGACTTAAGTATGTGATACCACCTTGTCTGGTTCTGACAAATCTACAAAATTTTCATTACGCTTTTTGTGCACTGAGCTTTCAATAATCTTTGAAATTTCAGTTTCTAGTTTTGTGCCAAACATCTGCACCTGGTTGACTGTTTTGTTTTGGTTTTTAAAAGGTTTACAGAAAGATGATTAATGGGTGAAGGAACAGATGCCTAAAGCCTGTTTCCTCAGTATTCCTTATTAACAGCAATTACCTTTTTATTAAACTGGAAATTATAATACACGAAAGGAAGAAAACCAGCAGTGGTTCTAATGACTTGCCATTTGAAAGCATAACTGCTGAGAAGAGCAACGGCTTTGTATGCATTCCTTACCCACTTTATTCAGATTCTCATGGAAGTAGTGGAATTGTACAGAATTAAAACATACTTTTTTTTTTTGTGGGGGGGTATATTTTGGTTTTCAAACCCTTCATATCTCCCATTGCCCTCTGCTGTAGTATTGGTTGATGTAACTTAAACCTCTCTGAAAATCTCGCTGGTTTTGGTGATGTTTTAATCATCCATTCCTGATTTACATCATCTTGTTTTGCATCTTTAAACCTAAAATTTTTGATTTCCAGTTGTTATATTTTATAATGTTTAAACATAGGGTTTTGCTTTGCCTAAGGGGATGCACCATAAAAATTTGATAAATATTTGTGAACCCTCTTCTGGGTTGCATTATTGCACAGGGCCTCTGCTATTTTTTTTAACCTGTTAATTTCAGAGTTATGTTTCATTAGTTGGACAACTGACTCACTGTAATCTGCTGGTTGTTTTCAACAGAAAAAAATATGCTCCTGATATTTAATTATGCATTTAGCGAAAGGGAAAGGGCAAGCTGTAGCTGAATTCAAAGCTTGTATAGGTCCTCCACACTCTAATTAGAGCTCTGCTTGGCCATTTCTGTCAGAATCATTTCTGGAGTGGTGGAAAAGTCAAAGTGGTTTGAGCAGGAATATAGCTTGGTTCATGAGGGTGGACAGAACACTTCCGTGAACAGCCATAGTAAGGATTATTAATGAGATGAGTCTCAGTATGGCTTTAATGTCCGGTGCAACTTTCTTCTTAAGTAACTCATTTGAAAATATTTGTGGGCATGGCATATGAGCAGTTTATCTTTACATACCATACTTCCTAGTCTATTTTTTTTTCCCTCTTCGGAGAGGTAGAAGGTATCTTTTCAGAGAACTGTTAATCTTTTTATAGATAAAAACACTTGACACAAAAATAATGGAATGATTTTACAATTTGTCTGATATGTATTGTCTAGAAGTTATTTTTCCTATTAAAAATGGAAATGTCAGTTATCTAGATTCACATTGTCTGTCTTAGATACATAAAGAAATAAATCGTAATGCTTCCTTTCTCAAAAACAAGCCTATTAACTTGTTCTGTAAAACTTTAAAGCTATCAAGCTGTCTTATGCAGTGGTTGAAGTGAACTGGTAGCAAGAAGCAGCAATCAGCGCTGTCTCATTAAGTGTTTGCTAATTTCTGAAATAAAGTTTCAGCTTATGAAATGTGACAAATATCCTTAGCCTTTATTTGTCTCCTTGTTTGTGTTTGAAACTCATAACAATGAAATGTTTCTGTCTCAGTCTCTGGTTCTTAGAGGGTGGGTTGTTTTTATTCACTATGCAAGAAAAGAAATTAAACCTTTAAAACTGAAAGTTTTGGGAAGCAAGTAAGTGGGAGTGAGGTGTTGGTATTTAAATATTTATAACTTTGTTTTTTCTTAAAACCTATCCCCAGGTTGCAAAAAACCAATAATATTTTGCTTTGTCATTCTTGCTAATCTCTTCCTTCCTTCTTGGTAGAACGTAAGGAAGAGCATCAGATGGCTGTCGTCCTTGGAAAAGCCCAGATACTCAAAACAGAAACTCCTGATGGCAAAAGTGAATCTCCTTCCTTGGAGGAAGGCCAGAGATCAGTCTCTCCTGCATTCTCACTGTCATCTGAATCAACAAGCAGGTTAGTGAAGACAAGTCTCTTCTCCCTGGTTTGTACCAGATTAGACCAAACATAGAAAACTTTGCCGGTAACCTCAAGCAATATATGTATCCTACTTCATAGGATGGGTTCTTAAGCTTGTGGGTACTGGCTACTGATTCATTCTCCTCCGTGTTTCTGGCTGTTCAGTTGCTTGAGGGATGGAGCTGAAATACATTCAGAATTCACTTAATAGTTTTGTAATGACTTGATAGAGGGGTGATAGTGTAAATGTTCCTTTTGATACAGAAACAGTGAGTGGAATGTCTGTGGAACCAGGAGAACATTTGGTGTTTCTCTTCCACTGCATTATCTTCCCTTCTGTTTGAAGTTTTATTTAGAGAGGTCCAAAAATTGATATAGCCTAAGTCTTTTAATAGCTCTTTGAGTACTGCTGTAAGAAATAAAATTTGAATGACCCATTATTTGCAGTCAGTGGTAGAATGTCACTGAACCTTGTAGTCCTGGCAGCCATTCACTTTTCTTTCTTCACACATTTAGTTTTGCTTCCTGAAATTGCCTTATTTGGTTTCAGAAAGTGAGAGATCAAGGAAAGCTTTATAAATAACGTAAGATTTTATGCTTTTGATAGTTCGATGATAATTTTATTGGAAGGAGACTCAGCTGTTACTGCTGATAAGATCTATCTAGTTTTTGAAGGTAGTGTTTGTATCTGTTTAAGGTACTTCATGGATCATAATTTGCTCTCTACTACTGATCAGTTGTCAAAGACGACAATGATGAATACTTAGATAAACATCCTAGTGCAATACTGGTTGCTGTGGCCCCACTTTATGGAGGAAAAGTGGAAAAAGTCATTGGAAACAAATACAGAATAACTTTGCTGATATATCTCTAAAAGCAAAAGAGCTAATCTTGAAAATAATCTTGTTATCCTATTGATAACAGAAATGAGAGGAGAAGGCACCCTTTGCAGGTCTGCATTACTAGGAAGAAAAGGGTTTCCTATGTTTAGAAGTGGGAGATAATCAGAGGAAGTAGCTGAAGGTCAGCAGCTGAGCTAGGAGTAACATTTCTTAATTTCCCACCCATTATACCCATAGTATGTGCCTCTTCCTCCTTGTTCTGCAAATATTAAGAATAATATAGTGCTTGGCTTCATCATCGTTTATTAAAAGAACAATTTAGTTGTTGAAAATAACAAACAAATTTTTATAAATTCATTTTGGTTCACGAAGAGTTTTTAAAAGTCAGCATGGGGATTAAAGATGTTGCTTTTCACAGAGGTAAATACTAAATGGTGAATGAAAGCCTAGGAAGACATAGGAAAGAGGAGATCAACTCGGGGGATTAGAGAGCATCAAATGTTAAATATCTTTGTTTTATATGATAAGATTTTGCTGCCTGTTTCCATTTACTTGAACTAAATGGGAGCATATAGTAAACATTTGTCAGTAAACAGCAGTATGCTGGCTGGGGAGGTCACTTACGTGGAGGCAGAAAGGGTCTTTGTGGCTGTTTCAAAATATCAGTATGTTTTTGTTTGGCTTCAAACTTGCGTTATATACCAGTAAAGTTGTTCCCCTCCTGGTGGCCTTTCCCCTCTCTACTGTATGTGTCTTTCTACCTGAATTGTTACCGTAAAATTGATAAACGTGGCATATCATTGTATTTGCTGTTTAATGTGCAACAGACCTATTAGGATTACTGATGTACTAGTTTTATCTAAATTTCTCAGGATGTCATGCAAATGATGATAGTTTATCCTTCCCTGTGATGCAGGTAACTCTTATCTCAGTAATTTCTTTACTTTTAAAGTAGGGCCCAGTGCTCTGGACTCATGAAGAGACTTGCACACTGTAATACCGATATTTGAGTACCTTATTTTCAGGTCTGTGGTCTTCAGAGCAGTATCCACAGATCTCAGTAGGACACACTGAATCACAGAGGCTGGGTGACCCTCTGGAGATCGTCTAGTCCAACCCTGTGCAGAGCAGGTCAGCTGGAGCAGGCTGGTCAGAACCTTGTCCAGTTGGGTTTTAATATCTCCCAGGATGGAGACTCCATACCCTCTCTGGGCAACCTGCTGCAGCGTTTGACCACCCCCACAGTACAAAGGCTTTTTCTTATGTTTTGAGGGAATTTCCTGTGTTTCAGTTTGTGCCCATTGCCTCTTGTTCTGTCACTGGATACCGCTGAGAATAGACTGTCATCTTTGCTCCCTCCCATCAAGTATTGCTACGCATTGATAAGATCCCCTTGAGCCTTCTCTTCTGAAGGCTAAACAGTCCCAGCTCTCTCAGCCTCTCCTCTGAAATCTTAGAAGAATTAAGGGTGTCAGAATTGGCTTTGCGTGAAGCAGCATGCTGAGCGGTGAGTTGTAAGGACTTAGCAGTGGACACCACAGGTCAGAGCATCTTTGCGTTCTGCCCTTGGCAGCATGCAGGTGCCTGGCTTAGCAGCATTGCCTTGTGATTCACAGCCAGAGCCCTCCTGGTTTTAAGCACTGAAGCCCTTTTAGAAGTGGACTAAGAGCTAAGCCCTAAACTGGAGGGGGAGATGCACCTCCTGAAAGATTCTTGCAGGCTTGCACTGTTCTGGGTTGTGACTGTCTCTTCCTGAAGCTGTTCCACTCAAGATCTGTACTGAAAGATGAAATGGGCCAGGGAGAACAACTCTTCAGCGCTCGCTTAAAAGGGAAGAAACTGGCCCTGTGGCTTTGTTCCAGAGTGGTTTTATGTGCCTGAAGCCTCAGCTTTCCAGTTTGCAGCTTGGGCCATGGCTGCTCTGCTGCTGGTGGGCGGTTCTGGGGAAGCACGTGGCAGCAGGATCCTGACATTTGGTTTGCGTAGCAGTGGTGTGCAGGAACCCAGGCAGAAGCTCTTGCCCAGGGCTAACGCAAGGCTGACTCTCGCAGATTTGTACAAGATGTCAGGTTTGACAGGTGCGCCGATGATAGATGGAGCTGCTTCATCCTCACTGTGCCTGCTGTTGCAGTTGCCCTAGAGCTCTGATTGTTATTTTAGTTCCACAAAATCAATGCCTTCAGCTTGGCTCTTCATCCAGAATTTAAACAAGGTGTTCCTGTTCTTCCCTATTTTACTTTTTTTTTGATTGCAAATTAACCTTTTGGCATTAAAGACCTTGGAAAATTTGGAATTTTAATCTTACAGAGTGAGTTCTTGGGAGGTAGAAAGGGCTTGTATTAGCTCATCCAAGTTATTAAATCTCTGTTTCACTGCCAATTTGGTGTGTGAATGACGTTATGAATGATTCTCGCTATGGCCTTTGACATCAAAGTTAAACCTTTATTCTTTACCTTTTTCTGTCTGCAGGCTTGTGTATATCAGCTTTCAAGTCTGGATGAAAGTGTGTCTGAGAGACTATAAGAAAGTTTGCTGAAGGATATTAGCATGTGGCAGTTACTAATGATCTGAATGTGCTTTCATGAACCAAGTTGGCAGATTTTGTTGGACAGTGTGCATTTGTTTGCGCTATGTCTGGCTCAAGGCAGAGTTGTTTATTCCTTCTTTTTATGCATTCACTCTCTCCAGATGAAATATTTCCACAGACTTCTTGAATCAAACATAGAACTTTCAGCTGTACAGACCAGTGGGTATGCATCACAGATATTTGGACCGTCTTTTAAAAAAAAAAACATGCTTAGTAACTCCCTGTGGTTTACTCTTAAATTCAACTCCTGTGGAACAGGAACAGAATTACTGGAGTCTGCACAGAATTGTTTTTTCAGAATCTCTCTGGGATTTTCTCTTCACTTTCCTACTTTGTGCATATGCCCTGATTTGTATGTGTGGTGTGTTTTTTATTTATTTTTCTTTAAATGTAGGGCAGTTTGCTTAACCTTAAAAGCTAGCTACTGCGCTGGTCAAGAAGTTCAACAAAGTGGTGGGTTTTTGTGGGGGGGTGGGGTGGGGGGGGGGGGTTCCTGGCTTTTTTTTTTTTTTTTTTTTTTTTTTTTTTGACACCACACCAACACCACCCTCCCCCCCTCCATTATATTGTGTATAAAACTCAACTGATTGGCAGTTGGGATCTGGAGTGTGCCTTGGGGCATTACACACTGTAGATTCGCATCCTTTACATCAAAAACCCTGTTTTTATACTCTGTTCAAAAAGAAGTGAAATCAGCAATAATAATACAGTGAAAGCTTAGCTAAAGTGACAAATGATGCCTTGTGATGCATGGAAGGCCCCTCTCATTTGACCACAGTGTTCCTCATGCTAAACTGTACCTTTCTGAAGAACACTCCAGTGCACTTTCCTGTGTTTTCTGGGAAACAAAGGTTACAGGGATCACCCCTCTCCAAATACTGATGTGGGGGAACTCTTATGAAAAATAATGAAATGTGCTTTTTGTCTTTACTATTTCTGTTCCCGATAGCTACTCTGAAAAAACAGCAGGTCTGATGTCCCAGTGCAATACCCAGGTCTTTGTTTGGTCCTTCGAGAAATGTCAGGTTCTGCCATGTCTACACACTAGCTTTGGACTGCAGAGTTCTGTATGTTGAACTGTGGCTCGTACTCCCAGTACGCTGCTTACACGTTTCTGGTATAATCAAAATGGACCTGAATTATGGCGAGATTTTCAGGGACTGTAAAAAGTAGGTGTAGTCATATAAACTGCATGAAAGAAAGAGATTTATTTTGTCACTCTATGGTTACCATGGGGTTAATGTTTTGTTAGTTGTAGTGAAATAAATATAGCACAAATAAAAAAAGAATGATTTAGATTTTTAGGGTTTAAGGAGCATTGTGCTATTGTACCAAGTAATGATTTTCTGAGGCTTGTATTTTATTTCTGATAATAAGAGGATATCCTTTGACAAGGGTAAATGTTTTTCACATTGAAATGTCAAAACTTGAAATATATTTGGAAGTCCAAATCTGCATGCTGTGTTTTTATGAAGCGAGCACTTCAAAATGGAGGGCTGATGTTATGACGGATTAAAAGAAAAATTAGGATTTTGAGCAGCATGTAGAATATAACAAAACAATCCTGA